ATTATCATATCAGATGAAGAATGCGATGATGGTAATTTAATACCATTTGATGGTTGTTTTGAATGCAAATATTAATGTATTGATGGTTGTCATATATGTTACTAAGGAGAATGTCTATTAAGATGTGGGGAAGGATTTGAATTTTAAGCTGATAGATGTTTATCAGTTTGTGGTGATCTTATTGTGACAAACGAAGAGTAATGCGATGATGGTAATATAATACCATTTGATGGTTGTTATGAATGTTAAATCCAATGTCAAATAGGTCATGAATATATTAATTAGCAATGTGTATCCATTTGTGGAGACAGGATTACCTCAAATAATGAAGACTGCGATGATGGAAATTCAATAGAATTCGATGGATGTCATTTATGTAAATACTCTTGTCCTTTGAATTGTCAAATTTGTTATTAGGGAGAATGTATTGTTTGTGATAATCATTATGAATTAATCGATTCAGGACAGTGTTAAATATAGAATTTGATAAACGATCTTCAATGTAATGATTATAATGATTTTCCAAATGATGGCTGTTACAATTCTTAAATTGAATAACATTGGATATGTTAAACTATCTCTCAAATCAGCGAATGCACTTATTCATTAAACCCTTAAATAATCGTCACTTATCTTAACATGGCCTCAAATATTTAATATGTTAAGATCTCGTTTAACTAAGAAGTCAAGATACTAACCGATATATTACTATCTTAGAGTATCAAAACTCAAATACTGGAAGTCTCCAGTGATGACTAAATTATTAACGTTCAAATAATCTATGAGGCTGGTCATTAAATTGCTTTTGTTGAATATATATTAGAAATAGAAATCTTCAAACTCTTAGATTTTAAACCTATATTAGAAATTACATTAAATCAATAAGTTGTTAACATAAATGAGGTTGCTATAAATCCCAATTCATATTATTTAACATTAAAAAATCCAACTTACCTGGATGAATTACAATCTGATTTGGCTTAGAAGTTACTACAAATTAATAAATCCATAATCTATTCTCTAGGAGCAATTGGTCTAATGTCTTTGCTTTTGGGATTCTCCTCTATATTTTTAAATATACTTACTGTTTTACAATACTATTCATATTTAAGGTACATCAACCTTGAATTCCCTTCAAATCTAATGATCTATTTTGAAATTGGAGATCTATTAACTATGCAACCTTTATTAGATGTCATTCATTTTCAGGACCTATTGAATTTTTTTTCAGATGATCAATCATTTTAACAATCATATGGGAAATTTTAGTTTTATAAATTAAATGCCGATCTACTTTAAAATATTCAAACCTAGATGTTACAATTCTTATTGATGGGATTACTTTTTATAATACCACTAAATTACTTCAAAAGGATCGTCTATTATAAAATATTTACCTAATCATTTTTTGAGAAAATTTCTTGCAAATAATTACAAAAAAAAGATTGTATATTTAAATTTTACAAAATATTTTACACATTTATGAAAAGATTGATTTCTTGGGATGATCTATTGACTTATCAAGGTTTCCGATAGATATTAATAATAAATGGATGGGATTTGGTTTTTAAAACACTGTTATTTATTCAATCTGCAAACGCTTTGAACTTTAAAGACATTATTTAAATTATTTTGGCATTACTAATTCTATTTACCTATTTTTTAATTATCATTCAATCTTGCAATTAATCATAAAGTAAAAATTAACGTCTGCTAAATCTACTATTCGGGGACAAATTTGAAATATTTAATCTAATCAGAATCATCTATTTTTTTGTAATATTAATATTCTGTTAGAGAGAAAAAATTATTTAAATCATAATGATTTCATCCTCTTGCCTATTTTCATTGACTCTTATTTATTGTTATCGTGATACTTTTGAGAATAAAAATTTAATTGTGCAATTAGTTATTGAAATAATCGTATTCATTTTTACATTAACCTCAATTATATATATTCAAGAGTTTTCAATGGGAGAAGAACTAAAAATTATTTTTGGTTGGTTTCATATAGCCATACTTTCAATTGGTACCATAGTATAATTTCTAGTGATAATATATGAAAAACTTAAAAAAGCATCTAATATCGAAAGTTTGTCAGATAAAAAATTGAAGTAACATAAGAATAATTCCCATTTAATTTTACATGAAGCAAGCAAACGTATTGTAATACAATAATCATGAAACATATTTCTAATTTATAATTTATAAATTTATTATTAAAGATATAGACTTTTTAGTTTATTCACTCATCCCCTAAATATTTTATCAATTATGGATTTTTAAATTGCAAATTATTCTCCTGCGAACTAAGTATTTGGTTTGTATTTTAACATTGAGTTTAGTCATTGTTCAATTTAATAGTAGGAATATAAAAAGTCTAAAAATAAATTTAATTTAGAAAATATATGGTTTAATTTCTCCTACGGATGACCGATAATTTTCTTTACCCTTATACCATTAGGATAATTATAACCATCATTTCACATTAATTGATAAATATATCAACTTGGAATTCATATTGGAAATGTGAAAGACTTTAGGCTTCTTCCACAAATATACCTTGATAATCACTTTTATATTTTTATTGAATGTTTATTGACACATATTCTTTTTGGTAGGCAACAACTAAGAAATTTAAATGTCATTTGATTTAATGATGATATTAGTTTTTTTTTAATTCCAACTAATATGTTTGAATACAAATTATATTCAAGTTAAAATGGTTTTACCTTATTTTCAAAATAGATAAATATTTCTAATGTAAATTATAATTCTATGAAAGATTCAAAAAAAATTCCATTATCCCCACTGATTCATCCTTCGAAATTTAGATTGACAATAACTTGCCAATCTTCCATAGAATGGATTTATCTCCTTCATCATTCTTTCAACATTAAATCATAAGTTGATTAATTTTATTAATTATTCTTGTTTTTGCTTAGAATTTAATTGCTCACATTTGAAAACAATAAGCCTTCTGATTCTCTTGGATATCCTATCGATTTGGTTCTTCATGCTCATTTGTTTTTCGAGTAAAACTTCTGTTCAATTCCTTTTATATTTCATGATTTTTTCCAGTTTTTCCACCCAGTTACCATCCTCTTCTCATAGGATCTAACATATGGTTCCAGGTCAAGTTCATACAATTTGTTTTACATATCCTCTAACTGAGTTTGAACGATTCAAAGTACTTGTAATCAGGAATTCTTGTGATTTTCTGGCAATTGTCTCTCTTCTTTTTTTACTCTCTTTTTTTATTTGATTGGTCCTCTCTTCCATTTATAGTTTCTTTTCCTTCTGATTTTCATAGTTCCTTAGATTAAATGGAAGTTTAAAAGACTTAAAAATTTTCCTATATTTCAAGGATTTTTGAGGCACATCTTTAATGAATTTGTTGCTCAACAAGAAGTAAATGTACAGATTAATATATCGCTATTCCGACATATCCTGTGAATCATATTCATAGAATGTTTTCTGAATAGGTTAGTTTCCAATTACCTTTAATATAACCATTTTCCTTGATGTCAAATTTCAGTCTCCTTATCAAATTTATCAAAGATTTGTCAGGTTGACTTTAGAGGGTGGTCTCTTCATCTGTTCCATTTGAAATTTTATGCTCACTCTAACAATCTTCTAAATCTCTAAGTATTTGAATCTCTCAACTCTCTTAATTCCAATTCTTTTTAACTCATCATCAGAACTAAAAGCAATATACATGATCTTTTTAGATTTAATTTAAGGCCGAAGTCTTTTTTTGCTCTTATGAAATCATCAGCAAATAATTTTGCAATTTTTTATCTAGTTCAGAATACAATATCGTCTGCATCAGCAAGGATTTCGGTTTCTTCAAACATCTTTTCGATTTTCCCCTTTTTTGAGGTAATTTCTCAATCTCTTCCTACATTATTGTATCATAAGTTTGTATCACATGGTCAAAGAAGATATTGAACAGGAATGGATTTTAAATAGATCCTTATTGTACCCCACTATTGAACCTGATCGTTTCTTTTGTTATTGGTTCAATAATATATAAGTCCTCATTCACAAGAAAAAGAATCCAACAAAGATTCTTTTATCCCTTTTCTCATAGTTTTTACATTAAATTTCCTCTATGAACTTGAGATCCTAGTTTTTGAGCG